GGCATGGTCTGTGCTGGAAAAACAGACATCTGGGTTTGAAGCTGCTCCATCTGTTTTTTAAGTTCTTTCAGCTCGCTTGAACCAGCCGTATTGCCACATAAACAGGTGTTTTGGGACTGAATGCTGGCCTTTTGTTTTGGAACATTGGCACCAATGTATCTTTTCATGAGCCTTTCCTTAGTTTGTTGTCGGTCTTCCTCTGTGCGTAGCAATAACAGAAGCTCTGCAAACGAAGGAGGATTGTCCTTTTTTTGTTCAAGTTGCAGTTTCGTTATCACGGTGTTGTCCCAACACCCACGCAAAAACTGTTTGATAAGATGTTTACTTATGTCAGCAGCATCCACTCCTCCCCGTTTGAGAACAGTGTTCAACATTAGCTGCAGCCTCTGGAGATACAGAGATTGTTTTTCTCCTTGATTTTGGAGAACATTCAAATACTGCGCAAATAGTTCTTCACCGTCTTGCACTGTGCTGAACGCAGAGTCCAGAACACAGAGTAGTACACCGGGGAGTGTGTTTGGGCCCAATCCTTTCACCAGGTCTGCCGCAGGGGACAACAGACTCTCCATGATTCTTCTGGTCACGTATAGAGCTGATAACCCTGGGTCAGCAAGCAATAACTCTATCTGGGAGCGCCATGATTCAAAATCTGCCTCGTTATTCGGCTTTGGGTTACGTCCAGAAAATGAATAAAGTCTCAATGCAGCAGAGCTGCTCAAATCAGTATTGCGGACCACATGTTCCACTACAACACGTTGTACTTCTGGCGTGTTCAATGCCATTCCAGATAGAGATATTCGTGCAGGTCCTGTGTCTGTGAGCCTTGGTCTTGTGCTTTGGCCTTTTGGTCTAGTGCTTTGGTCAGTGGCGAACTGACTTGAGAGTGAGGGAGAAATAACAGGGATTTCCATGGCTTGTGTGTGACTGACCATGTCCACAGTTTCCTCCTCTTCGTCCTCTCCATCAACATTATAATTTCCATCATCATGTTGATCTTCTCCTTTAACAGTTAAATGTTGTCCAATTTGGCTCATTACAGTTTTGAGCATGTCCTCAAAACGTACACCGCTACTATAGCCTCCAGTAGCTAAGTATTCGTCCGCGAGAGCAGTGACGGGGTACTCTTTATTGGAAGCTGACATGTATCTATACGGCAAGAGTGACTTAAACTCAGAATAAGCAGACGCCGTTTCAAATTCAACGACCAGGTTTTTGTAGAAACTGCTTTGTGGATCAGTAACAGGTTTAACAGTTCTCAATTTACCATAACCAGTCAAAGAATTTTATATTTCATCATCTGAACTAGTGTTTGTTACTCCAGATATCATTACGGATTGGGAAATGTGTACACCTGATTGCGCAACAAAGTCCATGGTTAGCTTATTAACTTGACCACTTACTATTCACACTCAAAGGCTCCTGGCTAGCTCGCCACGTGTAACGCACTACGGAGCTAAGGGTCTGACCGCATGTAGGGTAAGCATCAGAAGAAGGAACGGTAAGGAGCACAGGAGTGTGAATAAAACACATACACAGTTAATAGCTTTTTTTTGGGAAAAATAATATGTATTAATGTTGATATATATATATATATTTTGTTATATGTGATCAAAAGGTTGTATAATAATAATAATAATAATAAATGAAAATATAGTCAGACACGCGCACACATGTACCAAACAAAGCAAAATTCAAACCACAGTGTCCCTTTCAAGGAGAGTAAAGTAAATAAATTATATTGTTCAAAGTTCTGTCAAAGTAAGTTCAGTTCAGGTAAGTGTTATTGTTCCAATGTATTTGTAATCCAAGTGGAATGCGTATTGTAATCCAAGTTATCGAGTTCCAGAGTGGTGAATCAAGTTGAAACAATTGTTCCTACCACGATGATGCGGTGGTTGACAGGTTCGGGGTCGTTAGCTCGCCATCCAGTGGTTACATTCAGTAAAGCAGTGCAGTTCAGTCAGTGGAGGTGGGGGGAAACAGAGGTGGGACAAAGTCATTGTTTAGCAAGTCACAAGTCAGTCTCAATTCATTGCCCTCAAGTCCCGAGTCAAGTCACGAGTCAAGACAGGCAAGTCCCGAGTCGAGTCCAAGTCAAAGGCCAACAAATCTCAAGTCAGTCCCAAGTCCTACGGTTTGACTTTCGAGTCCTCTCGAGTCTTTTTGACCGCGATTTGTTTCTTGTTGGTCTCCACGTACTTTTGTAGGCAAACAAAATAATGTTAGGAATCATTTTGCTGGTGCATTCTCGTTGGTCTCTGACCCATGGACTAACAGTTTGTTCCATGTCGTTGGCTGCTGATAAATCAAAACTATCTACGTGATCTAATTGGATGTTGTGCCAGATGCAGGCTCAGTTACACATGCACAGACCACACATAAAATCAGAGCAGTCCGTGTCAACATACTTTTTATCTTTGGGGTTTTTAATGGGAAGTAGCAAGTGCAGCATATATGAATATGAGTATTGGGCTAGGACCTGTATCTATATAATCAGTTTAATGTCCGTAGTGGTTATTGTTCCAAATGTCCTACTGTAGAATAGGGGTAGTATGAGGGGTCTAGGCTTTGGACCTGGGGCAGCTCGCCATCAACTGGACCAGCATTAGCAATATCTCATAATTACCAATATATCATTACATAATAAAATGTCTCATATAAATTAATTCAATCAGTCAAAGCACTGATTCTCATATCAATGCACCATAAACAATAGTGCAAATATTAATCTAGCTTAGTGCACATAATCAAAACAACTATCTAATGTATGCAAACTTTAGCAGGAGGAGCACAGCAAAAACATACTCATAATAATAGGCCTCGGCGCCCACACAGAAAAATATAAGAAAGAGCCAACAGAGCAGCGCAGGCTAGCGCTAGTTTGACTCACCAGTTCCTCTTTAAAACACGGCACACAGTGTGACAACTGCGTCGATTCAATTGTATGAGGCGCCTGTAGTGAAAGCATATCAATTACGGTTTGTAGAACAAAATATGACGTTAGGTCGCGATAAATACCTGCAGCTCGCTCATTTCCAGCTCCCCTAGACAACACACCCACCGGTGAATGCAGTGCGCTTGTTTAGGGAAGTGTTGCTGCGCGAACTGCGGGGAACTCACGTTCGAACTCTCTCGCGAGCGCTACAACTACCGCGAGGCTTTGTTTCTTCAGAGACGGCATAGATAGAAGCGGAGAAAGGTAAAAATGGCCCGGGTTACGCAAGTCTTTACAAGTCAATTGGCGCAAGTCCAAGTGAAAGTCAGAGTCATTGATGTTAAAGTCCAAGTCGAGTTGCAAGTCTTTTTATATTTGGTCAAGTCGAGTCTAAAGTCATCAAAATCATGACTCGAGTCTGACTCGAGTCCAAGTCACATGACTCGAGTCCACACCTCTGGGGGAAAAAAAAACCTGACCGTTGAGTGGAAGATTAGGTGCAAGAATCAGGGTGATGGTTGCATGATTGAATCCAGAATCCAAAAGGGTTGTTTCAGCAAGAAGCCGGCAGTGTAGACAACGCTGGAGGAGCATCTGTCAAACTGGATATGTTGTTGCGGTACTTAAGGGAAGTTGTTCCAAATTAAAACCGGAAGTGGTCATGTGACACGGGTTACAATAGGTAAGATGTATATTTTTGTTTTGTGGTATATATGTGTTTGCACATTCGTATGTCTTTCCTGTTGCTACTGACATTGACTTGTGACGTGTGTGGGGCTATTTCAACTCTTAAAATATATATATTTGTTTTATTTATTTTTATCATTTTTTTTATTTTATTTTTATGTCTGTTCTTGATTTTAAAAAAAGCCATAATTTCTGCATAACTTTTTTGTGAAATGTTTTGGAAAAACCCAATAAAATATGTTTGAAAAAAAAAAAAAAAGTGACCTCCGTGTCTTAATTTGATCGTATTTACTCTTTTAAAAAGATTCGCTGACTTTACGTCCGCCATCTTGGATTCCTCTTGCTGCTGCATGAGAGAAGCTTGAGGAGGCAGTGCAAACCCCACGTAACACCGGCAATCCTGATTGGTCGATTACAAAATAATCTGGGGAAGGCGTACGCTATGGCGTCGATATCAGACCCATGTGGTTCAGCCAAACGCCTCTGGTGGAGCATGGCGGAACTACAAGGGTCTGGCAGAGACAGGCTAGTGGAGAGCACCCTCTGGTAAAAATAGACAATTACTTTAATGTTTCACATCTGGAAAAACACCCAGACATTCTCAGAGCAGCCACAAGAGGGCACTGGTCACTCACCATCGTGACGTCTCCTACACACGTACTATGAACTAAAAAACAACAAAGGAACAAATCAGTTGTGGAATGTTTATTCAATGGAAACCTAAATATATAAACTCAGAGGATTTTAGTGGCATTTCTGAGGCACAATAAAAACTACAGCAAAAAGCAGTTCAATAATAAAGTCGTATAAAAGCAAAACAAACATCTTAATTTCTCAAAACCAGGTTAAAAAATATCAGTAGCCGCGGCGCGTGGATACAGTAGTACTTTGGCATCTGGAGGTACATGGTTTAAAGGAGGCAAAGTGATGAAGAGGAGGAGGCGAAGTGATGAAGAGGAGGAGGCAAAATGATGAAGAGGAGGAGACAAAGTGATGAAGAGGAGGAGGCGAAGTGATGAAGAGGAGGAGGCAGAGTGAGGAAGAGGAGGAGGCAAAGTGATGAAGAGGAGGAGGCAAAGTGATGAAGAGGAGGAGGCAAAGTGATGAAGAGGAGGAGGCAAAGTGATGAATAGGAGGCGGCAAAGTGATGAAGAAGAAGAAAGAAGGCCACAGTAACAGGTCTCTGGTCTCGCCATAGTCTCTGGTCTCGCCATAGTCATAGTCTCAGGTGTCAGGGGCTGGTGGTGGGGGTCAGGGGCTGGTGGTGGGGGTCAGGGGCTGGTGGTGGGGGTCAGGGGCTGGTGGGAGGTCAGGGGCTGGTGGGAGGTCAGGGGCTGGTGGGAGGTGAGGAGCTGGTGGGGGTCAGGGGCTGGTGGGGTTAGTACGGCTCCACCTTCAGGCTCTTGTACAGGCAGCAGGTGAACACCATCCCGATCACCTGCAGGAGAAAAACACCAGACTTTAATCTTTAATCTTACATAATTCTGAAGCGTTTACAGCCATCTCTGTGGACTGTGTGCTCCTTGTGTGCAAGAAGTCATCTTTATTTATAGAGCACATTTTTACAGACCAAAGTCACCCAAAGAGCAGTTTAATGTTCAGAGTTCAGACGTTATTCCATTCTCTCCACATGGTGAAGACAGGAGCGAGACCAGAACACACTGGACCATCAAAGCCTCTGACCAAACACCATCTGTTCACCCACTCATTACATTCAGACCTATTGTGCATGTTTTTAGTGGTAGGGGAAACCGGAGCACCTGGAGGAAACCTACGCAAACACAGAAAGAACATGCAAACTCCACTCAGAAAGGCCCTGCTCCGACCGGGGTTCGATGCTACTGAGATGCTAATGCTAAAAGCCAACCTTTACTGCACCTTTAATGCTCGGGTTCCAAATTTAGTAAGATGTAATAAAATCCATGGCCTTTGTGCCGGAAGGTTGTGGGTTCGAGCCCACCTTGAGGCCTTCACCACCGATTCCCACTGACGTCTGCTGTCGCTGTGTCCTTGGGCAAGACACTTAACCCCACTTAGCCCCCAAAAATGGATGGTAATAAAAATCCATCTAACAGTTCCTCACTCTCAAAACAGTTTGGATCCATGTCTAGTTTCACTTCCTGTATTTCTGGCTCTGTCACATCTTCAGATCACCTTTTTCAGACAGAGACGTGAAACTCTAAAGCCGCGTTTAGACCGGATCATGCTGCGTCGGCTTTCAATGCAAAGTCAATGGTGACAGGCGTTCGAGCGTCAAAACGCACAAGCGTCTCGGAATGCACGCACGGACTGAGCTGGAAAGTCCAAGGGGAGAAGCAGGAGCTGAATATTGCTCAACGTTTCCTCGGGACGTTTGTGCGGCGACCAATCAGAGAGCTGCAAAGTGGTCACGGGGACAATTAGCGGACTGAGCGAGCAGACTGAACATACTGTAAACAGCCAAAACAGGAGCTACACCAGGACTAAACCAGGACTAAACCAGGACTAAACCAGGACTAAACCAGGACTACACCAGGACTAAACCAGGACTAAACCAGGACTAAACCAGGACTAAACCAGGGTTGACAATGGGGGACTCTGTGCTTGTGAACATATGCGTTGTCATGCTCCCGTGACTTTATGCAACTGCTTTGAGTGTGTTCACCGATGCGGAAATACAGTTTAATAATATAATAAACTTATTGCGCACCTCTGTGAACACATACTACTGTTATATAAAGTCACCTCCGTGAACACATACTGCTGTTATATAAAGTCACCTCCGTGAACACATACTGCTGTTATATAAAGTCTGTGAAGGTCTCTGAACAAAGACGCGCTGCATATTGGAGAAGATCTGTACACGAGAAGCCGCTAGCATAACTCTGTTAGCATCAGAGCCCGGCGGCTACTTCCGCCACTTCCGGTGTGCGCCAGGACTTCTGGTCTGAAGACCCCTGCGTCTGAAAACTAGAGAATGTGCGTGTCAGCGTTGGCGGTCTGAACACAGCTTCAGTCCTTCCTATGCCTAGCGTACATCGAACTGGCAATCGATTATATCCGTCGCATACGAGTTCCTGCCCCGCACACATCGACAATCTGGCGAAAACGAGCAACTCCTGTAACAGGCCAGTCTGAGGAATAACAGCGCGTACATCGACAGCAACTGGCCTCAACTACAGTGTGTTTTCTGACATAAACTGTAGAGGGCGCAATACACACATGTTGTTGGAGCGCGCACATCGGGTCATATCTCCAGATCTGAGGACAACTAGTTGAAAAGTAGAACACGGGAAACTGATTGAATCTGGAGATCGACTGTTTATCTCCAGTTGTAAGAGCGCTGGTCAGAACACGGGTCTGACCTGGACACAGGCGATCCCGACGCCCACTGCTCCGATGATCTTCAGGTGCTCCAGGATAAACCTCTCCAGCTTCGTTATACAGCCGCCCTGGAACAACACACACATGAACACACACATATGAACACACACATGAACACACACATGAACACACACAGTAACACACACATGAACACACACACATGAACACACACATGAACACACACATGAACACACACATGAACACACACATGTGTGGAAATATTGTTCGTTTTTTTAACTGACCGATATATAAATCACTAAAGCCGCGTTCAGACCGGATCATGCTGCGTTGGCTTTCAAAGCAAAGTCAATGGTGACGCGCATTCGAGCGTCAAAAAACCCATGAGCGTATCGGAACTGCGCACGGACTGCTCAGTAGAGACACACGGACTGCTCAGTAGAGACACACGGACTGCTCAGTAGAGACACACGGACTGCTCAGTAGAGACACACGGACTGCTCAGTAGAGACACACGGACTGCTCAGTAGAGACACACGGACTGCTCAGTAGAGACACACGGACTGTTCAGTTGAGACACACGGACTGCTCAGTAGAGACACACGGACTGCTCAGTAGACACACGGACTGCTCAGTAGAGACACACGGACTGCTCAGTAGACACACGGACTGCTCAGTAGAGACACACGGACTGCTCAGTAGAGACACACGGACTGCTCAGTAGACACACGGACTGCTCAGTAGAGATGCACGGACTGCTCTGTAGAGACGCACGGACTGTGTGGGGAAGTCGAAGGGGAGGAGCAGGAGCTGAAAATCGACGTACGCAGGAGATAAACATTGCTCAACGTTCGTGCAGCGACCAATCAGAGAGCCGCAAAGTGGTCAAGGGGACATTAGCGGACTGAGCGAGCAGACTGAACATACTGTAAACAGCCAAAACAGGGTTGACAATGGGTGACTTTATGCAACTGCTTCGAGTGTGTTCGCCAATACGGAAATACTGTTTAATAATATAATAAACTTATTGCGCACCTCCGTGAACACATACTACTGTTATATAAAGTCTGAAGTTCTCAGAGACAGACACGCTGCAAAGCTGCATTATTGGAGAAAATCTTTACACAAGAAGCCGCTAGCATAACTCTGTTAGCATCAGAGCCCGGCGCCTACTTCGGTCACTTCTGGCACTGGTCAGGACGTTCTGGTGTGAAGACCCCTGCGTCTAAAAAATAGAGAATGTGTGTCTGGTGAACGAGGCTTCAGTGTTTCAGCGTTGGCGGTCTGAAAGCAGCATAGGACATGAACACACAAAGAGAGCTCACACTGTAACATGCTAAATGTTCAGGGAAATAGTAAAACAAATCATGACTGCCCCAGACTGAGCAGTCTGCCCAGACGCGCGCCTCCAGGTGTGTCACTGCGACTCTCCTGCTGCTGTGTCTCCCCCGCTCTCTCTCATCTCCCCTCGACTTTAGCGTAGGCTGGAGTGGAGGCGCTGTGCCCCGACGTGGCTTCCAGGCCTGTTCTCTGCAAATCTAACCTGTCTCCGAACTTCCCAATGACAGCCCTGACCCATGGAAACACTGTTTCCACTGACTTTATGTAAAGTGTCTAAAGTTAGTGTTTGATGCGGTATAACACTCTCACGCTGCTGCAGCTGCACTCGCTTCACCATGGTTTCTGCACTGGTTCAACCCGGTCTTGCGCGAATATTTTATATGGGAGCATGTCGTTTTTTGGGGCCAAGGAGGTAGTCTAACATGTCTGCCAACTAGTGGCAGGGAGTATGAATGAATTTTGACACTCAGTTGGTCACACTCGGCCGTTTTAAACAGTACCGCAGCTTGGCGACTTAAGTCGACCGTGGCGCCTAGAGGGTTAAACTGTCTCACAGCCAATAAAATCAATATGAACATTCTACAGAAATTGTAGAATGCGTAATGTAGCCATATATTAAGTATCAACACTTTTTTTTAAATAATTGAAAAATCGATAAAATCGATTTAAATCGATACTTAGCAAAAGCATATCGATAATCGATCGCGTGAGAAAGTATCACGATACATCACCATATCGATATATTGTCACACTCCTAATACACATGAACACACACATGAACACATACACATACACATGAACACACACATGAACAGACACATGAACACACACACACGAACACACACACATGAACACACACATGAACACACACACAACCACAGAGAGATGGACTGTGATCCGTCTGTTCGTGAGGTTCTTTATAAATCAGTCCTGGGTCTACAGCCTCAGTCCTGGGTCTACAGCCTCAGTCCTGGAGTCTTACCTCCACCTTGTAGATGTTGGAGGGGTGGTCTCTCTCTCCGCACATGGGGGTGGGGGTCTTACAGCAGCTGTCTGGGACCAGCCTGCCCTGACCGGCCTGGGAGCGGATCCACTCGCTGGCCGCCCAGTCTGAGGAACTGTTGCTGCCGCAGCATTTGAACTGGAAAAGAAAACAAGTAAAGTGACTGTGGAACTAAAAGATGCACTTCTCCCCAGGCCTGAGGAGGCGCTGTGACACTGAGGACATGCCTGAGGAGGCGCTGTGAGACTGAGGACATGCCTGAGGAGGCGCTGTGAGACTGAGGACATGCCTGAGGAGGCGCTGTGAGACTGAGGACATGCCTGAGGAGGCGCTGTGAGACTGAGGACATGCCTGAGGAGGCGCTGTGACACTGAGGACATGCCTGAGGAGGCGCTGTGAGACTGAGGACATGCCTGAGGAGGCGCTGTGAGACTGAGGACATGCCTGAGGAGGCGCTGTGACACTGAGGACATGCCTGAGGAGGCGCTGTGACACTGAGGACATGCCTGAGGAGGCGCTGTGACACTGAGGACATGCCTGAGGAGGCGCTGTGAGACTGAGGACATGCCTGAGGAGGCGCTGTGACACTGAGGACATGCCTGAGGAGGCGCTGTGAGACTGAGGACATGCCTGAGGAGGCGCTGTGAGACTGAGGACATGCCTGAGGAGGCGCTGTGAGACTGAGGACATGCCTGAGGAGGCGCTGTGAGACTGAGGACATGCCTGAGGAGGCGCTGTGACACTGAGGACATGCCTGAGGAGGCGCTGTGAGACTGAGGACATGCCTGAGGAGGCGCTGTGAGACTGAGGACATGCCTGAGGAGGCGCTGTGACACTGAGGACATGCCTGAGGAGGCGCTGTGAGACTGAGGACATGCCTGAGGAGGCGCTGTGAGACTGAGGACAGGTTTTAAACACAGCACAAATGGAGGATTTGGAAATTATTTTATATATTTTGACCTTTACTACAAATAAAGAATAGAGATTAGATCTGGTGTGTGTGTGTGTGTGTCTTTGTGCATGTGTGTGTGTGCGTGTCTGTGTGTGTCTTTGTGTATGTCTGTGTGTGTCTCTGTGTGACTGTGTGTGTTTCTGAGTGTGCGTGTCTCTGTGTGACCGTGTGTATGTCTTTGTGTGCGTGTGTCTATGTCTGTGTGTGTGTGTGTGTGCCTGTCTCTGTGTGACTGTGCGTGTCGCTGTGTGATTGTGCGTGTGTCTGTGTGTGCGTGTCTCTGTGTGACTGTGCACTTGTTTTCAACTCCTAGTGGGTTCCATAACCTGAGATTCCACTCACGTCATGGGGACTGGTTTTACGTGGTGGGGCCCGAACACCGGACCCCACTGGTCCAAGCTTAATAATCAATGGGTAATGCTTTTCTAACGGTCCTTATGCAGTCTCTGTAAAAATATGGAAAGGACCCCTGGAGGTTTACTTTCCTGAAAAAAGTGTGTTATGTGTCAGAACACTGGTGGTGGGTTGCGGAATATCAAGGAGGGCACACTGGGGCAATTTCAGTCCAGCAGGCTGGAGCCAATCATGGAGCAGCACAACAGAGGAAATCAGGTGTCAGGCTAGAAAAGGTGCAAGTGTGTGGTTCATTAGGCTGCAAGAAATCATGGAGGAGCACACTGAAGCGCACGCTTACAAACCACTGGTAAGTGCTGACTACAAGTCATGACTTCAAATTGTTATATAGAATTATTACTAATTATTTGTTGGTTGTGCAGCTTAGTCAAGAGTCCCTAATTGATGAAGTCGACTCAGATTCTGACGATTTAACTGTCAAGAAGAAACCTGTAAAAAAGTATGGAAATAGAAAAATCAAAAACACTTTTCTTCAAGACTCGGAAAGTGACGAACCAAAGGCAAATAAGATTGTTATCATGCAGCTGCAAAAGAAGAAAAATGGGGGGCGAGTTTATAGCAAGAGACATTTCTGCCTCTACTGTTCAATGTCCTGCCACAAAATGTCCCGTCATTTGACTAGAAAACATGGAAATGAAAGTGACGTAGCCAGAGCATTGGCTCTACCTGTGAAATCTAAAGCACGTAAACTTCAGTTTGATTTGATCAGGAATAGTGGAAACCGTGAGCACAATTTTGAGGTTTTAAAGGCCGGCATTGGAACTTTAGTCCCAGCTAAACAGCCAAATTCCCCAGTTAAATCCAGTGAGTTTTTGCACTGTATAGACTGTGGGGCATTGCTTAAGCGAAAGTGGCTGTGGAGGCATGTGGCCAGGTGCCGGCTTTCACAGAAAGATGCCCAGGCTAAACCAGGCTAAACCAGGTAGAAGTAGGGTCCAGTCCCTCTGCTCCCTAGCCCAGCCTGTACCGGAGGGCATCAGCAAAAAGCTGTGGTCTTTAATTTGGGCAATGCATCAGGATGAGGTCACGGGTGTTGTCAAAGCAGAAAAGGGGATTCTGAGACTCGGAGAGCACCTGTACTTAAAACACGGGCATGATAAGACTAAGCATGATTACATTAGGCAGAAAATGAGAGAAGTCGGTAGGTTAATTAACGAAGCAAAAACCGCAGGGAAACTGAAAACAATTAAGGATTTCTTTATTCCTTCCAACTTTAACCATGTGATTGATGCAGTCAGGTCTGTGGCTGGATATGATGAGGAAACAAATCAATACAAGACTCCATCCTTGGCCCTCAAACTCGGCCATAGCCTCAGAAAGCAGATATTCTTGAATGTGACTCAAAAATGGAGCATTGTGTTGATGAACTATTTATTAAAAACCTCCAACAAAGCCGGCTGCTTTTTGAGAAGAGGTGGGACGTCTGTGTTTCTTCTGCTGCCCTACAGACCCTCCGGCAAGCCAAGTGGAACACTCCGGACCTGCTCCCTCTGACTGAGGACGTTAGAGCCATGCATGCACATATTGAGGTATGTCGACCTGAATATGTGCAAACCCTAATAAGTGAGCCAACGTCTAAGCATTGGTCTAAACTGGCAGTTTTGACTATTTGTGAGGTCATTATTTTCAATCAAAGAAGGGAAGGTGAGGTTTCAAAGATGCCACTGACAGCGTTTACCTTAAGAAGTAAGACTGGGATCCATTCTGACATTGCTCTGGGACTGTCCGAACTTGAGAAAAAGCTGTGTCAGCATTTTCAACGCATTGAAATTAAAGGGAAAAGAAGTCGGAAAGTGGTGGTTCTTTTGACTCCTGAAATGATTGCTTGGATGGAGGTGCTGGTGGAGAACAGAAGGGCCTGTTCCATCTCTGACCATAACCCATACTTCTTCTCCCGCCCGGGCGCAGACACCCACATCAGGGGATCAGACTCCCTACGCCAGGTAGCCAAAGAATGTGGTGCGGTGCATCCAGAGATGCTATCCTCAACCAAACTTAGAAAGCACATAGCTACTATGTCTACAGTTCTCAATATGAAAGAGAATGAGATGGACATACTTGCCAACTTCCTCGGCCATGACATTCGCATCCACAGACAATATTACAGACTACCAGAGGGGACACTGGAGCTGGCCAAAATCAGCAAAGTGTTGATGGCCATGGAGCAGGGAAGAGCGACGGAATTCAAAGGAAAGAGCCTCGACCAGATACAAATTGAGCCTGAAGGTAATTCTTGATATTATTAAAATATGTATAATTTTTTTCCCCTAAAGGCCACTTGTATTTTTATTTTCTGTGCGACAGGGAGAGCAGTAGAGATCCTCTCACAAACGGACGGGCTAAAAGAAACTTCAAGCGGAGAACCTTCAACCATTCATCCAGATGCACCCCATGGTAGTGGCAGTGCCCCTTCTGGTAAGTGTACCAGGTGGGGGATTACAGCCAGGCTGCTTGGTCCTAACCCTGGGAGTGTATATTGCTAATATATATTTTTATTTCTCTCCCTAGAACGTGTAAGAAAGCCATGGTCTGCATCTGAGGTGAAGGCTGTGGAGAAGACCATGACACCTTTCATACAGACTGGAAAAGTCCCTGGGAAGTCTCACTGCCTGGCCTGCATTAATGCCTCACCAGATGACCTTAGACATCGGACATGGAGTGGCATTAAATTCTATGTCAAAAATAGAATCACTGCAATTCAAAAAAAAAAAAATCAAAAATATAATTCCTTTAAAAGAGTTGTTTGTTTTCTATTGACTGTTTTGTATTACTTAAAGTAGTCCCAGTAAAAAAGATTATGTCTATGGGTCCCATTCTGAACGGCCCTGTCAAAGGGACCCACCAGGTAACAAAAACGTGTATGTGTGCGTGTGTCTGTGTGACTGTGCGTGTGTCTGTGTGTGCGTGTCTCTGTGTGACTGTGTGTGTGTCTGTGTGTGCGTGTGTCTGTGTGACTGTGTGTGTGTCTGTGTGTGCGTGTGTCTGTGTGACTGTGCGTGTGTCTGTGTGTGCGTGTCTTCTGACCTCCTGCTGCAGCTTGTCCACTGCTCTGGTCACGTGCTCCTGGTTGCTCTTCTGGTATTTCTGGATCATGGTGTCTCTCAGACTCAGCTTCAGCTCCTCGTTCAACTGAGACACAGACACACAACACTCATCACACACTTTGTCCTGAATAAAACGATTCTTCTTTAATATTTTGGTCATTTCTCATCAGCCTCGTACCATTCCTTCTTCGCTAACATGGAAACAGTCCAATCCCAGAATGTGGTCTGAACAGGGTCCTTCATGGACTTTGTCTCTGCTCTTTACGGACCCATGTGTGTGTCACATGGATCTATAATAAGAACTGGAGAGGGTGTTACTAGCTTATAGCTCGGGGTTGGTAGAGCACTGGCCTTTGAGCCTGAAGGTCGAGCCCCATGACCTTCTCCCTCAGACACCCACTGATGCCTGCTGTCGTTGTTTCCTTGGGCAAGACACTTTGCCTTTAAAGGAGCGCAGAAGTAATGTACGCTGCATGCCTTGAAACTTTTTCCTCTTTCTGCTGCTGCACCGAGGCCCGACCACCTCTGCTACTGCACCCTGAGGCCCGACCACCTCTGCTGCTGCACCCTGAGGCCCGACCACCTCTGCTACTGCACCCTGAGGCCCGACCACCTCTGCTGCTGCACCCTGAGGCTGTTTCTTATAATTACCATTGTAGCTTTTCAGAATGATATATTTATTAGTTCTGTTTGGATGGATGTGTTTCTGCTGCTACTGGACACCTGCATTTCTCCTTCAGAGATCAATACAGTATCTGTCTAAATTCCCAGAGGTGGAGGTCTTACCTGTTGGTAGTAGATGTAAGCCAGGACTCCAGCCAGAACCTCCAGGAGGAAGATGCACAAGAGCAGGACAAAGTACTGCAGAGACAAAAGTAACTGTTACTATCTGCATCTGAGGACAGACCAGAGGGCGGTCCTGGTCCAGACAGGTCCAGACCAGTGGGGGAGGGTCCCAGCTCAAAAGTGGCCAAAATGACGTGCGCTGACATGCTGCAATACCACCCCGGGCCGATGGGGGTGGACCCAGAAGTAGAATTAGCCAATGCTAATATATGCATTGGCAGACCTCTCAAAAACATCTTTACAGGATGGACCAAAAGTTTGCTCTTGGCCCAAAGCTCCGTTCCACATGTGTGTCAATGCTGAGGGGAGTGAATTTTTTTGGTCCACTCTAGTTTACTTGCTGTGAATTTTTTAAGTCTCTCGTTCAAATGAATGCAGTTGCGCCGGCTGACGCATGCGCAGATGCGAGTTTTCACAATTTTCTTGTGGGCGGGACCACTCGCGGCCATTTTGGATAGCTCCAGTAGAGCACATTTTTGGCCCATTAGTTAGAACGGCGGAGATAGGTGTGACTCTGTCCGTTAATATATACAGTCAATGGTCCAGACAGGTCCAGGAGCACGTGCGCTGACATGTTCTAATCTCACTCCGGGCCTGTGGGGGTGTACCCGGAAACAGAATTACGAAATGCCTTTGTATGCTGCCTTTATTTTCAAAAACGGTTTAGAAAACGGCTTAACAGGAGGCTCTAAACGTCCAAGAGAAATTTTTTGGTTTAGTCGCAGTGGAATTTTGAAGTCACTCTTTAAATGAACGGGGCTCGTGCAGCTGAATCATGCACAAATGTGTTTTTTCACATTCTTCAGCCCTTGCTGCCATTTTGAAAAGCCCCACAGAGGGTGAAAGTGATGTCACTAGGGGTGTAACGATACATTTTTAGAACGATACGATCCGTATCTTTATAAGAGCAAATGATTTTGATATAAAACGGTATCTTAATTTAGATTTTGAACGATATATAGATACAGTATTATTGGCTTTTTCTGTAAATAAACTTTTTACAGTAATTCAAACTTAGAAATCTAACTAAAATTTAAAGTGCTGAACAAGAAATACCACTTTTTACAAATTTAACAAAAACATGTATTTTGCCCAAGAGCTAACTTATAAATAACTCCCATGAATAAAAATAATAAAACATATATACAGTGGGACAAAAAAGTATTTAGTCAGCCACCGATTGTGCAAGTTCTCCCACTTAAAATAAAGACAGAGGTCTGTAATGTTCATTATGAATGTGAAAACAAAAATCCAGGAATTCACATTGTAGGATTTTTAAATAATTTATTTGTAACTCACGGTGGAAAATAAGTATTTGGTCAATAACAAAAATACTTTGTAATATAACCTTTGTTGGAAATTACAGCGGTCAAACGATTACTATAGGTCTTTACCAGGTTTGCACACACAGTAGCTGGTATTTTGGCCCATTCCTCCATGCAGATCTTCTCGAGAGCAGTGAACACGGACTTTCAACTCCCTCCACAGATTTTCAATGGGGTTGAGGTCTGGAGACTGGCTAGGCCACTCCAGGACTTTCAAATGCTTCTTACGGAGCCCCTCCTTTGTTGCCCGGGCGGTGTATTTGGGATCGTTGTCATGCTGGAAGACCCAGCCACGTTTCATCTTTAAATCTCTCACTGATGGAAGGAGGTTTTGGCTCAAAATCTCATAATACATGGCCCCATTCATTATTTCCTCAACACGGATCAGTCGTCCTGTCCCCTTAGCAGAAAAACAGCCCCAAAGCATGACGTTCCCACCCCCATGCTTCACAGTAGGTATGGTGTTCTTGGGATGCAGCTCAGTATTCTTCTTCCTCCAAACACGACGAGTTGAGTTTTTACCAAACAGTTGTACTTTGGTTTCATCTGACCACATGACATTCTCCCAATCCTCTGCTGTATCATCCATGTGCTCTCTGGCAAACTTCAGACGGGCCTGGACATGCACTTGCTTCAGCAGGGGGACACGTCTGGCACTGCAGGATTTGATTCCCTGTCGTCGTAGTGTGTTACTGATGGTAACCTTTGTTACTTTGGTCCCAGCTCTCTGCAGGTCATTCACCAGGTCCCCCCGTGTGGTTCTGGGATATTTCCAGATATATATATATATATCGCCGTTCTCATGATCATTTTGACCCCACGGGATGAGATCTTGCGTGGAGCCCCAGATCCAGGGAGATTATCACTGGTCTTGTACGTCTTCCATTTTCTGATAAATACTCACAGTTGATTTTTTCACACCAAGCTGCTTGCCTATTGTAGATTCACTCTTCCCAGTCTGGTGCAGGTCTACAATTCTTTTCCTGGTGTCCTTCGACAGCTCTTTGGTCTTGGCCATAGTGGAGTTTGGAGTCTGACTGTTTGAGGCTGTGGACAGGTGTCTTTTATACAGATAAGGAGTTCAAACAGGTGCCATTAATACAGGTAACGAGTGGAGGACAGAAGAGCTTCTTAAAGAAGAAGTTACAGGTCTGTAAGAGCCAGAGATCTTCCTTGTTTGAAGTGACCAAATACTTATTTTCAACCATCATTTACAAATAATTTCTTTAAAAATCCTACAATGTGAATTCCTGGATTTTTTTTCACATTTTGTCTCTCAGAGTTGAAGTGAACCTATGATGAAAATTACAGACCTCAGAGAACTTGCACAATCGGTGGCTGACTAAATACTTTTTTGCCCCACTGTATAAGTGTTAATTATTTAGTGTTAGTTAGTGTTAGTGTTTATTATATAGTGGTTAAATAAGAATGAATCTGAAGCTGGATTTGATGGAAATAAGTCCAGACTTAACAAAGACTATTTTGTTATTCTAATTGATTATTTTCTTAATTAATATTAAATAATAATGATACTGTTAATTTGAAGTTCTTGATTTAGTGTTACTAAGTTCTTCATGTTGTCATGACGATAGTCCAACACTTCTGTTGAGCAGTGAGCACTGTATATTCTAGTGCCTTTACCTCGTATAGAACTTTGAATATAACACTTTTTGGTGTCCGCTCTTGCACCGCAGTTACTACTGTGTTCGGGTGACTCTTCTGCTTTGCCAGCGATGCCGTGGCGTCGGTACAGATGCGAAGAGAAGCGTAGCGAGAACAGTAGTTCTACAGAGCGATGTAGTGGATCGCAGGGGAGACACATCGATATATCGATTAAATAGTCGTTACCCCCCAAGATGTCACATTAGTTTGAACGGCGGAGATAGGCGTGACTACGTCCGTTAATATTTACAGTCTATGGTTCTGAGTGAGGCCTGGCGTTCGGTGACATCACTTCCTGTTCTGCAGTGTTTTCTGAGTGAGGCCTGGCGCTCGGTGACATCACTTCCTGTTTCTGCAGTGTGTTCTGAGTGAGGCCTTACCACCCGCAGAAGCCTCCTCTGCTCCTTGAAGGTGGCGCAGCAGCCCAGCACCCCCGTTACCATGACGATGGCTCCGGCCAGGACCAGGATGTAGGCCGAGGCCGCGTAGGTCTTGGAGGGCAGCAGGCTGATGTAGTCGCTCTTCTCCAGCAGGGTCCAGATGCCCACCGCCATCACCACGCCCCCCGCCAGCTGTCGTCAAGGGCAACAGATTAGGGAACAGTGGAGGGAAAAATTAGTCTGTTCAGTATCACGATATTTTGTGCTCGTAATTAAATGGATACAGTAATAATAATAATTCATTTTATTTCATTGCACCTTTTGAGACGCCCAAGAGCTCTTTACAATACATTAAAAACATCACACACAACAGTAATGGTGCATTCAGACCGCCAACGCTGAAACGTCCTGACGCGAGTAGGCCGGAAGTAGCCGGCTCTGATGCTAACAGAGTTATGCTAGTGGCTTCTTGTGTACAGATCATCTCCTATATACAGTTTTGCAGCGTGTCTTTGCTCACAGACATTCCACAGGCTTTATATAACAGCAGTATGTGTTCACGGAGGTGACTTTATATAACAGCAGTATGTGTTCACGGAGGTGACTTTATATAACAGCAGTATGTGTTCACGGAGGTGCGCCATACGTTTTTTTGTATTATTAAACAGTATTTCCGCATCGGTGAACACACTCAAAGCAGTTGCATAAGGTCACAGGAGCATGACAACGCATATGTTCACAAGCACAGAGTCCCCCATTGTCAACCCTGGTTTAGTCCTGGTTGAGTCCTGGTTTAGTCCTGGTTTAGTCCTGGTTTAGTCCTGGTGTAGCTCCTGTTTTGGCTGTTTACAGTATGTTCAGTCTGCTCGCTCAGACCACCAATGTCCCCGTGACCACTTTGCAGCTCTCTGATTGGTCGCTGCACAAGCGTCCCGAGGAAACGTTGAGCAAAGTTTATTTCCGGTGGGCGTCCATTTTCCGCTCCTGCTCCTCCCCTTTCACTTTCCCGCCAAGTCTGTGCGTCTCTACTGAGCGGTCCATGTGTGTGTGTGCCGAGCGGTTGGTGCGTTTTGACGCTGCAACGTGCGTACCCATTGACTTTGCCATTAACGCAGACGCAACGCAACGCATGATCCGGTCTGAACATGGCAGAAAAGTACAGAATAAGACATTTTAAAATGACAAAGATAAAAAGACAGTTTAAAAATGTTTTGTGATTAAGATTTTGATCTTATATATTTTATTAGATTAATTTTATGTATCTCCATCATTTTCTTCCCCTTATCCATTTCTGGGTCGGGGGGGTGGGGTGGGGGGCAGTCAGAGCACCAGCCCTTCACTGATCCTCCTGCAGGTGGTGAGTCTACAGGAGCTGAGATCTTTCAGCGGGGGCTTCAGGCAAAGTGGGGTTAAGTGTCTTGCCCAAGGACACAACGACAGCAGTCATCAGTGGGAGTCGGTGGAGAAGGTCTCATGGTGGGCTATTTACTTTATTTACGTAATTTATTTGAAAGTAAGTAAGTAAGGTTTCTTTATAGAGCTGTTGTGTGTTTTTGTTTTGTTCTTAGTTTTCGTGACTCCTTTTCAGCAGAGTTTGAGTATGTCTCTTGGTCATGTGCCTTCCTTTGAGTTCATTATTTCATTCCATTTCCATTGATTTTGATCTTTTCAAATATGATGCAGATTGCGAAGGCTCGTCTCAGAAAAGTCTCAAAGCTATAATTTACACAGAGGAATGTTGAAGTCGGCTGCGGCTGTGAATCTTCTGTGAGACAAACTGAGATTACTACTTTCCCTGACACAAAGACGATTTGAAATCTCGCTCTGTCTTTGTGACATGATGTAACTGTGGAGGAGAACGATTCTGTGGAGGAGAACGATCCTGTGGAGGAGAACGATCCTGTGGAGGAGAACGATCCTGTGGAGGAGAACGATCCTGTGGAGGAGAACGATCCCGTGGAGGAGAACAACTCACCCAGAATAAAAAGTTAAAGGTGATCAGGAGATATTTGAGGCAGATGGTTCCACATGTCTCCTTCTTCTCTTCGTACACTCCCATTCTGAAAAGGAAAACACCAGACTCTTTTACATCCACGGAAAGAGCAGGAGAGAATTACAAATCAAAATGAATAGTATTTCATGACGTGGGTTTGACAGATTTTGAAAAACTAGTTATGGACTGAAACCCAGTTATTCTCAGTATCACAGCAAGAAAACGGCAAAAATGATGAATAATGAGGTTATAAATGCTATTATCACCATTTGAATCATATTTGATACATGAATTTCTGAGCTCCCTCCAAAATCAGTGTGATTTTTATTCTCAAAAAAACCTGTTGTATACGATTAGAAACTTGTAATGCACACGTCCATCCACCAGAGGGCAGTAATTCACGCTCTAAAGTGACGCGAGAGACGTCAACACACACTCATGAACTCTTTGACCCACATGTTTTTTTAGCTAACATAATTTCAAATTGAAACTTTTTAAAGTGAGAAAAACGGTTACAGGGCTCAGAACCTCACCAGTCTCCAAATATGAGAATTTTCTAGCAATTATTTCATGGACCGGGCTTTATAGACATTTCTTGTATCTTTTTTAAAACATTTTGCTCTGTCCCTTTGGTGAATCTTCTTTTAAGGCAGTCCTAATGTGCTTAAATGAAGAGGAAATTTGCCAGATTAGGGCATTTTTCGACCTATTTTTCCTGGCTCCATCTGTGTGTGGAGTGAGAGACTCAGGTCTGTGAAAGGCACTATATAAACAAACATGAAAGAACAATGACTCCAACACAGGTGGGGCAGTTAAAGGGGCAGTTAAAGGGAGACGGCCTGTTTTATTACCACCTCATGTCTTTGTGTCAACAGCAGTTATCTCAGAGGACTTTACAAAACCGTTTCACCATCACAGATTAGAGAATCAAACACACAGAGTCATTGGACCATAAGAGGCAGAAGACCATAAATGTCCATATTTCCACTAAAACTCCAGGTGACTCAGACCATCACTCTGAGTCTGTTATGACACCATTACTTAAAAAGATAAACAAGGATTTCCCCAAATTTTAGAAAAGAAGCGCCTCCTCAGAGGATTAAAACATGTCTCGCATATCACCCGCTGTCAGACTGCTCAATGAACACTGCCCCCTCCTCCCTCCTACTCCACTTCTACATACCTTGGCTGCCATTACTGCGAACAGGTCATTGTTGCAGCTAAGATACTTACATCCTGCTACTGCTAATAATGATAATGATAATGATAATAATAATAATAATAATAATAATTGACTGATGTGTACAATCTGAGTCCTTATTTCCTTCTTTCTCTGCTGTGAAAAAGTGACGCTGACATTTCCTCGCTGTGGGACCAACAAAGGACTATCTTAATAATAATAATAATAATAATAATAATAATAATAAATTGGTTTTATACAGTGCTTTTCAGATGCTTCACATGTCATTACACATCTACACATTATACCCCATTATTAAGATGATGCTAAAAATGTAATGTTGTTTTTTGTGACAATGACAATAAAACATCCATCCATCCATTTTCTTCCCCTTTATCCATTTCTGGGTTGGGGTGGCAGTCAAAGCTGCACCCAGTACACAGAGCACCAGCCTCTCACTGATCCTCCTGCAGGTGCTGAGTCCACAGGAGCCTTGATCTTTCAGTGGGAGCTTCAGGCAAAGTGGGGTTAAATGTCTTGCCCAAGGACACAACGACAGCAGTCATCAGTGGGAGTCGTGAAGTAGGTCTCATGGTGGGCTCGAACCCACAACCTTCAGGCTCAAAGGCCAATGCTCTACCAACTGAGCCACTGTCTCCCCCAATAAAACATTGAATCTTGAATCTACTTCTCACTTTAGGTCAAAAGGAGCCAGAGCAAGTTGGAGCAAAACTTTGTCCATGAGCGCTTCCCTTGTCTGGTGCACACTGGGACACTTTAGCACATGTATTCCAATGTGGTTTTACTGCAAAAGAACTGAATCTGAATCATACCGGGCATACTTCATACGGGTTAGCGGGTTAGCGAGTTAGCATCGTCTATCTGTATACAGTCTGTTTGAAACATGCCCATGTCATTATAAGGAAGTAATGTTTAATTATATAGCGCCTTTCACAAACCTATTACTGCCGTCTGCTTATGAGACAGATTAATGTGGGACAGTCTGTTTCTGAATCCTATAAATACACTTTTTAAAGCCGTATACTTAAACCTGGAGCGGAGGGTTGGCTAAAGTCAACAACCCCAGCTGGATCTTTAGTGTTCCTCAGAGTGATCCAGGCCCCGCCCCGCTCCCCTCACAGTGTCAGCTCGGTCTGTGCGAGTCTGGACCGGCCTCTGCTCCTGCTGCAGACCGCCCCTCCCCCTCAGATCCCCCTCAGATCCCCGACCCCCCCCCCCCCCCCCCCCTCCCTGTAGAAGGTGCCTGCTAATTCAACCCAAACACCGCTGTGTGGACGACCTGCTTTTGTAAACGCCACAGGCCACAGCTGAGTCAAGAGGATTTTAGTGAGTCCGGACCGGTCCTGACCTGAAGCAGAGGGAGAAAGACGCTTAAGTTTGAGCGACATCCATTCGATTCAAGTTAATGTATGTCCTGACGAAGACCGCTTTGGTCAAAACGTGTAGGCAGTCCATTTTAATAACGGACTTTTACAGGTTTTCACTTCAACAGAGTGCCTCAGACTCCCTTTTCTTGACATGCTAAATCTGCTTCGATTGTCCTGTTCTGCTCCACCCAGAGGCTACTCCACCTCTGCTGCTGTGACCCGTCCTGCTCCACCCAGAGGCTACTCCACCTCTGCTGCTGTGACCCGTCCTGCTCCACCCAGAGGCTACTCCACCTCTGCTGCTGTGACCCGTCCTGCTCCACCCAGAGGCTACTCCACCTCTGCTGCTGTGACTCGTCCTGCTCCACCCAGAGGCTACTCCACCTCTGCTGCTGTGACCCGTCCTGCTCCACCTCTGCTGCTGTGACCCGTCCTGCTCCACCCAGAGGCTACTCCACCTTTGCTGCTGTGACCCGTCCTGCTCCACCCAGAGGCTACTCCACCTCTGCTGCTGTGACTCGTCCTGCTCCACCCAGAGGCTACTCCACCTCTGCTGCTGTGACCCGTCCTGCTCCACCTCTGCTGCTGTGACCCGTCCTGCTCCACCCAGAGGCTACTCCACCTCTGCTGCTGTGACTCGTCCTGCTCCACCCAGAGGCTACTCCACCTCTGCTGCTGTGACCCGTCCTGCTCCACCTCTGCTGCTGTGACCCGTCCTGCTCCACTCAGAGGCTACTCCACCTCTGCTGCTGTGACCCGTCCTGCTCCACCCAGAGGCTACTCCACCTTTGCTGCTGTGACCCGTCCTGCTCCACCCAGAGGCTACTCCACCTCTGCTGCCGTGACCCGTCCTGCTCCACCCAGAGGCTACTCCACCTTGAATGATCAATTTTATTTTTGTTTTTGCAGTAACTGGACACCTGAATTTCTCCTACAGGGATCATTAAAGTATCCATCCGTCTGTCTTTGAAGAGCACCTGTTTGTTAAGCATCTACCACTCGAACCCTCTGCACCTTCCTTACTTCAAACTCAACCCTAAATCACAACAGTAAACTATCTCAGACGACTTTACAAAGCTGTGGATTTTCCAACACAGAACAGAGACCCAACAGTTCAAAGACCGGAAACGCAACAATAAAAACCACACACAGAGGGGTCCATAGAGAGTTCAGAATCTCTCTAAGATTAAGACGGCATCAGTATTTAAAAGTTCAAAATACGTGTAGCTCCTCCCCCTTCCTATTCTGTTTTTTTATACGACAAACCTGTACGATAGTTCCTCTCTCTCTGCTTCTTTTTTTTGCCAAATGTAAAACTTTATTATGTTTAAGATAGAAATGTTATACTTGTTATTTGATGCTAGAGTTAGAGTTTTTGTTTTATTTTAATTAGTATAGCTATTTTTCACTTATCTTGTGCCGTGTGCTCCTCTTTCCTACTGATCTATAACTTGTGATGAAACACTGAAATTTTCCCGCTGTGGGACGAGTAAAGGATCTCTTAATCTCAATCTCGTAGTTATAGAACAGTAGGAAAGAGGAGCGCACAGCACAAGATAAGTAAACAATAATTATACTAATTAAAATAAATTAAAAATCTCTAACCCTAGCATCAAAGAACAAGTATCAAATATCTATCTTGAACATTACAGAATAAAAAATGTACATTTGGCAGAGAGGGAAACTAATGCACACGTTTATCGTATAAAAGACAGAATAAAAAGGGGGTGGGGCTATATGTAAAGATGGCGCCGCATTGGCCAGAACGGCTCTTTGGTACGCTCCATTTCTTAGTTTTTTCAAATTAATAAATTGTATGAATATTTTTTCAACGATCCATGTCTTTTGTCTATTTTCACTTGTATAACTTGTTTGCACCATAAGCCAAGTAAATTCCTAGTTTGTGACTTCCTGGTACAATGGCAGTCAGGACTAAACATATGAAACACGTTTCAGATTTATACAGCTAATATCTGGAACAGTCTTCCTGAATATGTGAGACAGACTTCTTCTCTGTTTAGCTGTGATTACAACTGAAGGATTTTATCTTTACCCTTTTTAATGTACTGTGACTATTTATGATTTTAATTCCTTGTCTGTTTCTATCTTGTTTTTTCCACCTTGTGTATGAACTGTGCTATACAAAAAAACTTTGTAATTGCTTGCCTTCAAAATAATTCTAATTTTTCTGATTCTTATAACATTGTTTTAGCTCAATCTAAACTTTTCAAAATTAATCATACATTTAATAAATAGGTACAGAGGCCATATCAGTTCAGGGAATTTCTCCAGTTTTCACAACCAGTCCCTGTGCTCCTCAGACTTTGGTTCTCGTCAGGACTTGAGCAGCAGTGTTTTGAATATACTTATTATAAAGTATTTCTGTCATAGACGATGCCTTTTACATACTTTACAGCCCGATATATAATTTGCTGTTTAGTTTACCACAATTTAAATTCAAAGACAGAATACTATATATTTTTAGACACTACCTCTGAGAATTGTATAAATGGAGGGTTAGAGGGTTAGTCCAGGGGTTCCCAAACTTCTGCTCATGTCTAAATCCTGCACCAGATCAGATTTACCAATTCCATTTCCTTACCTGTCTTTGTTCTGTGACTCAAGGGCAGGTCTGTGTCTGGGGCGTGTAGGGCATCTGACACACTCTACCCCCCGTCTACAACCGTCTACACCCCTCTACCCCCCCCTTCAGATTACAGCGGCAGCAGGAGTTGGAGCGCGGCCAAAAAGGGTTTCACTAAATTAAGACTGAGCTCATGTTTGCGTTTCATCATCGACTTTACAGGACGAGACAGAGGACTGTACAACGAGGACACATGCTGAAGTGAAGGGTCTGGAATGGTCTTTAGATGCATGTTTTGTATCTGTAGTCTTATGTATGTGTGTAACTGTTTTTATAATCTGTAAATGTGTGTACTTGTGTGCAACTGTCTCTTGTCCTGGACTCCCTTAAAAAAGAGGTTCTTAATCTCAATGGGACTTTCCTGGTTTAAAGAAAGGTTAAATGAAAATAATTCTGAAGTGTGTCTCCACCAAACATTGAAATCAGTGTGGGCGGGTCTCGGCTCAAAAGTGTCCAAAATGACGTGCGCTGACATGCTGCAATACCACCCCGGGCCTGTGGGGGTGGACCCGGAAGAAGAATTAGCCAATGCTAACATATAGCATCTTTTTAACTCTGGAAAACGTCTTTACAGGATGGTCCAAAAGTTGGCTCTTGCCCCAAAGCTCCGTTCCACATGTGTGTCAATGCTGAGGGAGTGTTCTGGACCAGTCTAGTTTAGTCGCTGATGACTTTAGAAGTCTCTTGTTTAAATGAATGGGGCTTGTGCAGCTGACGCATGCACAGATGTGTTTTTTCACATTTTCCAGCCCATAGACCACGGACGTTGTGGCACATTAGATAGAACGGCGGAGATAGGCGTTAGTACGTTCATTAATATTTACAGTCTATGACTGCAACCAAACAAAAAAATGATTTTAAATGGAAGCACCAGATTCTACCATAATCCAGATTCAAAAAGTGAAATCCAATAAGTCTTCCTATGAACTTGGGCTTTATACATTTGTGTATATTTTTGTAGTAGGGTCATTCTCTGTGACCGGTGCCTTTTGTGTCCCAGAGGTTTAACGCAAAGATTAAAAAATAAAGTTACCAATAAAATGAATTTTAACCAAGAAACAAAGAAACATGTGTATTTACACAGAACACTAGAAAACATTTGAAAAAAATACATTATTCACATTTGTATGAGTCGCTGAGTATCAGAGGCAGATGCATGTCCCCACAGACCAACGTTACTTTTTCATTCAGTCTAAAACAAATATAAATGGCCATAACCACATTTTTTCTGCTAATATAATATTTAACCTGTCTGCTCTGACTAAAATAAAATAAAACTGAAAAGAAATCATGTTTTTTTTTTCCATGAAATGGTACTTTGTAATCACGTCCCCCAAGTTTGTTCAACCCCGTAACGGCGTTATCCACCCTTTTTGAAAATAATGGTTCAGTCCAACAAACTCAACCTTCACAAAGTTACTCAAGTCTTTTCAAGGTCATGCTGTGAACAGAGGTCATTATTAGCATTAGCAAACATTTTTAACCCTATTTCATTTTTGTTGCCATAAGATTGACATTGTCTAGCTCAACCTTTCAACTCTCTTTCAACACAGATAAACGATATTTAGATATTGTTTGGGAAGAATCTAACAACTGTGTGGAATAGAATATCAATGTCATGATTTCCAAATGCCAAGTGGTACTAGCATGTTTGCTAACATGTGGTACTAGCATGTTTGCTAACATGTGGTACTAGCATGTTTGCTAACATGGGAGATACAGACACTTTTAGCTAGAATCTTCAACCCCGTAACAAAATGCATGGCTAATTCCTAGTAATATTTGGTATTCCATGTCTAAGGTGAGAAACAGTATTTCACCACAGGTTCAAATACAATGTTCAGATTTTTGGTCATTTTTGCAAAATTCAGAGAACCCAAAAGGTACCCGTTACAAATAATCACCCAGTATTTTGATATTGCACAGTTCAGGAACTGGTCTCCTGCTGAGACTCTGAGGAGCACAGGGACTGGCCTCCTGCTGGGACTCTGAGGAGCACAGGGACTGGCCTCCTGCTGAGACTCTGAGGAGCACAGGGACTGGCCTCCTGCTGAGACTCTGAGGAGCACAGGGACTGGCCTCCTGCTGAGACTCTGAGGAGCACAGGGACTGGCCTCCTGCTGGGACTCTGAGGAGCACAGGGACTGGCCTCCTGCTGAGACTCTGAGGAGCACAGGGACTGGCCTCCTGCTGGGACTCTGAGGAGCACAGGGACTGGCCTCCTGCTGGGACTCTGAGGAGCACAAGGACTGGCCTCCTGCACAGAGTCAGAACTAAACATCTGGAGGCAGCAATTCAGATTCATGCAGCAAAAATCTGGAACAATCTTCCTGAGAATGTGAGACAGGTTTCTTCTCTGACAATGGTTAAATCCTGGTTAAAAACAGCTCTGTTTCGCTGTGAATACAACTGAGGGCTTGTATCTTTCCTCTTTTCAATGGATTGTGATAATTCATGATTTTAAAGCCTTGTTCAGAACTCTGAGTGTATGAACTGTGCTACACAAATAAACTTGCCAATAATAAAAAAACACATAAAATGCAGCAGGAGAACCCAGTAAAGTGTCGTATAAACTCATGACTCATATGAACTCCTGTGACATCACCCGCCCTGGGGCCGTACACGCACCACTGTCTGAGACACGCTCACCGTCACCGCTGTTATCCGACAAGTTTCGTCTCAAATCCTCACTTTCACACAGAAAGTCCCACCGTGTTTCGCCTGCAGACATTTTAGGAACAGGCTAAAAGTAAAGCATTTTGGTCTAAACGATAATGTTGAAAACTCTGAGATTTTGAATTGACTGAAATGGCAATAATTAACATAGGGTTAGGGAAAGCGGTCTTCGTCAGGTTTGTTTACTTCCTGTTCAAAACAAATCACTATTTTCTTCATTTACCTTTGAGCCACCACCATGTACAGAGAGAGCTTCATGGGCACAGCCAGTGAATATCAATACATCAATACATACATGTAGAATATATTGTGTAAGTGAAATACATATTTGGCAGGATAAATGGGGTGTGGGTATAACGTACTTTGGATATGGAATAGCACTGGCACTTTAGTCACTGTATTGTGTAAATACTGTTTATATCTGTGGCCTTTTCTTCGTGAACTACACTGTATTATTGCACTGATGGGACTGTGCAATACTCGGCATATTCTTGTGTTGAAATTGTACAGAAATAACGAATGTCCAGATGTTGTGTCTTCTGTGTTCGTGTCCAAGAGCACTGTGAGCCCGAAACTTGAATAACTTTCTTTTTATTGTTTTGTTAACTTTCTCAATACTTTGCAATTGTTACTTGATAGTTTTTCTTCAAACTGCTGTTGTTCATATTTATGAATCTAGAGAAAATGTGCTTCATCAATTTGAGCTTTTAAAGCGCTTCAGGTCATTTTGAGGAGTATTCTGTGGTAAAAGTGCCACATTTAATCTAATGCGTCCCCTGTAACCATTCTTTGCAGTTGCACTACTGGATATTTTGCTCCTAATGTCAAATTGACATCTTACATCTACTAGAAGCCTAAACTTATTTGATGATAAATTATTATATTCACATTGCCTCTGCCAACAGATATGTAACTTTAACTATAAGTCTGTAATCATGCATTTTACAAACTCCATATTTCACCTACATATTAAAGATAGGTAATTCAGTGACCTCAAAAGATCAAAAAGCTTTTAGCAGTTATACAAATGGACTCAAACAGATTTGTTTTAGCTAGTGTCAAAGTAAATTCCTTGTGGGTCAATAAAGTTTGTCTAAGTGTAGGACCTTTCACATTGCAAAGCTGCATCTGTAATAAATACTAATGAACCTTCACAAACATGTAAACAAATGAACGTAACATTCGATTATTCCCCCAGTTTTTTGTCTGCCAGGGAAACACTAAATTTATCACCAATAAAACTCCATCGTAAACTCTAACTTCACATCCGAACACGTAATATACAAATATTGCCAACCACAAAGACTATTTATGTATGAGAAAAGAGAAAACACGGAGAAACGTCTAAGCAGTGGTAAAATTCGTAAAGAAAAAACTGCTAACTAGCTTCTTTGATAACCGCACAGGAGTTAGCCACCTAGCATGCGTGGCTACACCGGGGGTCCCTCCACATCACTCACCTGCTTTTATCCTCAAACAGCGAGGAAAATATGGTTCCGAAGATAATCTCGGCTCTGGAGCTGAGGTATCCACAGGCAGGACCAGGACCAGGACCAGGGGCAGGACCAGGAGCAGGGGAGGGACAGGCGGGGACTGGGCAGACTCCACCCCGCTCCCAGCACCTCGCACATGGGAGGAGGTTTTTCATCCCCACAGGCGATCCTCAATGTGTGGTGACGGGACTGCAATACTTTCTGGGAGGATAGAATATGGTTTCACATCAGAATAGTGGGTGAATATTTAATTCACAAATGTGGATGATTCAATTCGTCCCTGTGCTCTTGAAACTCCCAGCAGAAGGCCAGTCCCTGTGCTCTTGAGTAACCCTAGCCGTCACCCTAACCCTAACCCTAACTGTAAACCTAACCCTAACCATAACCCTAACCCTAACCCTAACCCTAACCCTAACCCTAACTGATTCTGTTGTAAAAGTGAATTTCATGCAGCAAACCACTTGAAACGCTTAAAACAGGCCAGAAACATCATGAATTGCATACTGGCAGCCAACAACTGTGATTCTATGTATTTGAACTGATTCTGTTGTAAAATTGAATTTCATGCAGCAAACCACTTGAAACGCTTAAAACAGGCCAGAAACATCATGAATTGCATACTGGCAGCCAACAACTGTGATTCTATGTATTTGAACTGATTCTGTTGTAAAAGTGAATTTCATGCAGCAAACCACTTGAAACGCTTAAAACAGGCCAGAAACATCATGAATTGCATACTGGCAGCCAAAAACTGTGATTCTATGTATTTGAACTGATTCTGTTGTAAAAGTGAATTTCATGCAGGAAACCACTTGAAACGCTTAAAACAGGCCAGAAACATCATGAATTGCATACTGGCAGCCAACAACTGTGATTCTATGTATTTGAACTGATTCTGTTGTAAAAGTGAATTTCATGCAGCAAACCACTTGAAACGCTTAAAACAGGCCAGAAACATCATGAATTGCATACTGGCAGCCAACAACTGTGATTCTATGTATTTGAACTGATTCGGTTGTAAAAGTGAATTCCATGCAGCAAACCACTTGAAACGCTTAAAACAGGCCAGAAACATCATGAATTGCATACTGGCAGCCAACAACTGTGATTCTATGTATTTGAACTGATTCTGTTGTAAAAGTGAATTCCATGCAGCAAACCACTTGAAACGCTTAAAACAGGCCAAAAACATCATGAATTGCATACTGGCAGCCAACAACTGTGATTCTATGTATTTGAACTGATTCTGTTGTAAAAGTGAATTCCATGCAGCAAACCACTTGAAACGCTTAAAACAGGCCAGAAACATCATGAATTGCATACTGGCAGCCAACAACTGTGATTCTATGTATTTGAACTGATTCTGTTGTAAAAGTGAATTTCATGCAGCAAACCACTTGAAACGCTTAAAACAGGCCAGAAACATCATGAATTGCATACTGGCAGCCAACAACTGTGATTCTATGTATTTGAACTGATTCTGTTGTAAAAGTGAATTCCATGCAGCAAACCACTTGAAACGCTTAAAACAGGCCAAAAACATCATGAATTGCATACTGGCAGCCAACAACTGTGATTCTATGTATTTGAACTGATTCTGTTGTAAAAGTGAATTTCATGCAGCAGGCCAGAAACATCATGAATTGCATACTGGCAGCCAACAACTGTGATTCTATGTATTTGAACTGATTCTATTGTAAAAGTGAAATTCATGCAGCAAACCACTTGAAACGCTTAAAACAGGCCAGAAACATCTTGAATTGCATACTGGCATCCAACAACTGTGATTCTATTTATTTGAACTGATTCTGTTGTAAAAGTGAATTCCATGCAGCAAACCACTTGAAACGCTTAAAACAGGCCAGAAACATCATGAATTGCATACTGGCAGCCAACAACTGTGATTCTATGTATTTGAACTGATTCTGTTGTAAAAGTGAATTCCATGCAGCAAACCACTTGAAACGCTTAAAACAGGCCAGAAACATCATGAATTGCATACTGGCAGCCAACAACTGTGATTCTATGTATTTGAACTGATTCTATTGTAAAAGTGAATTTCATGCAGCAAACCACTTGAAACGCTTAAAACAGGCCAGAAACATCTTGAATTGCATACTGGCAGCCAACAACTGTGATTCTATTTATTTGAACTGATTCTGTTGTAAAAGTGAATTCCATGCAGCAAACCACTTGAAACGCTTAAAACAGGCCAGAAACATCATGAATTGCATACTGGCAGCCAACAACTGTGATTCTATGTATTTGAACTGATTCTGTTGTAAAAGTGAATTTCATGCAGCAAACCACTTGAAACGCTTAAAACAGGCCAGAAACATCATGAATTGCATACTGGCAGCCAACAACTGTGATTCTATGTATTTGAACTGATTCTGTTGTAAAAGTGAATTTCATGCAGCAAACCACTTGAAACGCTTAAAACAGGCAAAACACATCATGAATTGCATACTGGCAGCCAACAACTGTGATTCTATGTATTTGAACTGATTCTGTTGTAAAAGTGAATTCCATGCAGCAAACCACTTGAAACGCTTAAAACAGGCCAGAAACATCATGAATTGCATACTGGCAGCCAACAACTGTGATTCTATGTATTTGAACTGATTCTGTTGTAAAAGTGAATTTCATGCAGCAAACCACTTGAAACGCTTAAAACAGGCCAGAAACATCATGAATTGCATACTGGCAGCCAACAACTGTGATTCTATGTATTTGAACTGATTCTGTTGTAAAAGTGAATTCCATGCAGCAAACCACTTGAAACACTTAAAACAGGCCAGAAACATCATGAATTGCATACTGGCAGCCAACAACTGTGATTCTATGTATTTGAACTGATTCTGTTGTAAAAGTGAATTCCATGCAGCAAACCACTTGAAACACTTAAAACAGGCCAGAAACATCATGAATTGCATACTGGCAGCCAACAACTGTGATTCTATGTATTTGAACTGATTCTGTTGTAAAAGTGAATTTCATGCAGCAAACCACTTGAAACGCTTAAAACAGGCCAGAAACATCATGAATTGCATACTGGCAGCCAACAACTGTGATTCTATGTATTTGAACTGATTCTGTTGTAAAAGTGAATTTCATGCAGCAAACCACTTGAAACGCTTAAAACAGGCCAGAAACATCATGAATTGCATACTGGCAGCCAACAACTGTGATTCTATGTATTTGAACTGATTCTGTTGTAAAAGTGAATTTCATGCAGCAAACCACTTGAAACGCTTAAAACAGGCAAAAAACATCATGAATTGCATACTGGCAGCCAACAACTGTGATTCTATGTATTTGAACTGATTCTGTTGTAAAAGTGAATTTCATGCAGCAAACCACTTGAAACGCTTAAAACAGGCCAGAAACATCATGAATTGCATACTGGCAGCCAACAACTGTGATTCTATGTATTTGAACTGATTCTGTTGTAAAAGTGAATTTCATGCAGCAAACCACTTGAAACGCTTAAAACAGGCCAAAAACATCATGAATTGCATACTGGCAGCCAACAACTGTGATTCTATGTATTTGAACTGATTCTGTTGTAAAAGTGAATTTCATGCAACAAACCACTTGAAACGCTTAAAACAGGCCAGAAACATCATGAATTGCATACTGGCAGCCAACAACTGTGATTCTATGTATTTGAACTGATTCTGTTGTAAAAGTGAATTTCATGCAGCAAACCACTTGAAACGCTTAAAACAGGCCAGAAACATCATGAATTGCATACTGGCAGCCAACAACTGTGATTTGAATTGATTTGATCTATGTATTTGATCTATGTTTGATCTATGTATTTGAACTGATTCTGTTGTAAAAGTGAATTCCATGCAGCAAACCACTTGAAACGCTTAAAACAGGCCAGAAACATCATGAATTGCATACTGGCAGCCAACAACTGTGATTCTATGTATTTGAACTGATTCTGTTGTAAAAGTGAATTTCATGCAGCAAACCACTTAAAAGGCTTAAAACAGGCCAGAAACATCATGAATTGCATACTGGCAGCCAACAACTGTGATTCTATGTATTTGAACTGATTCTGTTGTAAAAGTGAATTCCATGCAGCAAACCACTTGAAACGCTTAAAACAGGCCAGAAACATCATGAATTGCATACTGGCAGCCAACAACTGTGATTCTATGTATTTGAACTCATTCTGTTGTAAAAGTGAATTTCATGCAGCAAACCACTTGAAACGCTTAAAACAGGCCAGAAACATCATGAATTGCATACTGGCAGCCAACAACTGTGATTCTATGTATTTGAACTGATTCTGTTGTAAAAGTGAATTCCATGCAGCAAACCACTTGAAACGCTTAAAACAGGCCAGAAACATCATGAATTGCATACTGGCAACCAACAACTGTGATTCTATGTGTTTGAACTGATTCTGTTGTAAAAGTGAATTTCATGCAGCAAACAACTTGAAACGCTTAAAACAGGCCAGAAACATCATGAATTGCATACTGGCAGCCAACAACTGTGATTCTATGTATTTGAACTGATTCTGGTGTAAAAGTGAATTCCATGCAGCAAACCACTTGAAACGCTTAAAACAGGCCAGAAACATCATGAATTGCATACTGGCAGCCAACAACTGTGATTCTATGTATTTGAACTGATTCTGTTGTAAAAGTGAATTTCATGCAGCAAACAACTTGAAACGCTTAAAACAGGCCAGAAACATCATGAATTGCATACTGGCAGCCAACAACTGTGATTCTATGTATTTGAACTGATTCTGTTGTAAAAGTGAATTTCATGCAGCAAACCACTTGAAACGCTTAAAACAGGCCAGAAACATCATGAATTGCATACTGGCAGCCAACAACTGTGATTCTATGTATTTGAACTGATTCTGTTGTAAAAGTGAATTTCATGCAGCAAACCACTTGAAAAGCTTAAAACAGGCCAGAAACATCATGAATTGCATACTGGCAGCCAACAACTGTGATTCTATGTATTTGAACTGATTCTGTTGTAAAAGTGAATTTCATGCAGCAAACCACTTGAAACGCTTAAAACAGGCCAGAAACATCATGAATTGCATACTGGCAGCCAACAACTGTGATTCTATGTATTTGAACTGATTCTGTTGTAAAAGTGAATTTCATGCAGCAAACAA